CGTCAAATAAAATGATCAATCGACAATTGGTCAACAATAATACGAAATGTGGGGTGGTGCAAAGTTCGGAAATGTTGTCATCAGATTATTTAGCAACTATTGATCAACAGTTCAATGGGGCAACTAACGACATTCAGGACGAACCGATTGATCTTACAAAGGATTTGTTGAATTATATGGAAAGTGAATGGGACAATTTGGAAGGGTATGATTATTTTATAGATGTAGTTGTTATAGCAGCACGGTGTTGTGAAAACAGACGGACACGGTCTTGGGGTGAGCCTCACTATCAGCTAAGAAACGGACCTCACCGCAGAAATGGTCCCAGAGTGAGGCTTACCTCCAGAACGGAGTTGGGTTTGAAGTTTGTGTTCAGCGTCATCGTTTTCATAAGAATCATTAGCTGGACTTGTTAGCTCATTTTGAATCGTAAAAACTAATTTTTGGTAATTGAAGTGATCAAACGCCATCTTCACTGACAAAAACGCTTGGATTGGAAGGTGAAAATGAGTATAAAATGATTGAGAATAATCCGTATTTGAATGAAGTAAATCAGTTCGAAAGTGGTTCTGAATCGTACGAGAATGGTGATCTCCTTAATGCGATTCTTCATTTCGAATCGGTCATCCATGAAAATCCATCGAATTCGCAGGTTTTTATCTCATTCATTGGTTATTGTTAACATTCTTATCATTGTTATTATTACTGGCGTTGTTATTAATATGATTTTATCATTGCAATCACTATCATGATCAGTGTTATGAGTGGTATTCAATAGGCGTGGTATATGCTAGGTCTATGTCAAGCTGAAAATGAACGAGATCTACAAGCAATTGCAGCATTCAAAAAATCGATCCAAATCGACCCCAAAAACGCAGAGGTATCCATCTTCATATCGGTAGTTAATTAGTCGCAACAGCCACTCTTTTTAATGTGATTGCTCTAATTAAAGAGTTATCGTTAACAGCATCTATACGGTGTGATTACTGTTATCATCTTAGTCCGATCTGTTCGACGTTTCTTTGCGATTCGATTCCATAATTTGCTATTTTTTGTTTTTCGATCAGCTTTGCCCGGAAAATTCTACCAGCGTCATCCCTGAATTGTTTTTGTCTTCCCATGGGACGTTTTTGCATGCCCTATGGAAACCATTCCGTAGCTGCTGCTATGGTACATCTGTTATGTGTGCCGAGTTTCTGGCCACATGGTCGTTTCCAGTTACATAATCCAGTTTCGATAATAATCCATAATTGAAGGCGATACTAGCACTGTCAGTGTCCTATGCAAATGAGTCAATGCCAAACGAATCGTTGAGACTGTTAGATGAATGGTTATCAGTACATCCAATATATGGACATGATAATGCAGATCGCATCTCTATCAGCAACACCAAATCGTATTCACTGGATGAAAACCACTTTAAAAAGGTTCATTCTTGCTCAGTCGACATTCGCAAACACTATTCGATAGCCATTTTGAATGTGTGATCGCAGTCCACAAATAGGACAGTTTGAGACTTTCCTCCACGTTAAGATTTAGCCTAGTTTCTAGGATGAGCCTCAGTCTCAGCCTAAGCTTGAGCTGATTGTGAGTAAAAATTTGGATCGTTCTTCTTTTTGCTGGTGGGACGAATTGGATTTGGAGCTGTCGAATAGAACCTATTGTTCATTATTACTTTACCAATCGATCGTGATATCAATCAGTGGATTGTGAGTTGAGGTAGAAGAGCGATTTATGAAAGCAGTGCAGAAACAGTCAGAATCAGTTGATGTTCAGCTGCAGAATGCGTTATCAATTTTGTACAATCTGAATGAAAATTATCAACGTGCCATTGATTCATTGAATATTGCTCTATCTATTGAACCTGATGTTAGTTATTGTTATTGTCATTATTATTATTATTGGTATTATTATTATTATTATTATTATTATTATTATTTATCATTGTTACACAGTACAAAATTAGTTGATGTAATAGTAAAGTAATACAGAATGCAAGATTGTGGAATCGCCTG